TTATTATTATCATCATATTAAAATCTTGCAAACGATAAAACCTGCCAGCCTGTAAAAACAATGTATTTATATATATATAAAAAAAAATTATAAAAAAAAAATCTGACCGGCCCACATTAAAATAATGGTCCGGCCCTTCTGGCATTTGCCAGAATTGCCAGATGGCCAATCCGCCCCTGGCTAGTTACTTTGGCTGCAGTGACACCTGCACTGGCTCCTCTGTCCGCAACAACAGGTTCACAGTCGTCAAAAAGCAAAAATGTGATTAAATGCCCACATTGTTCAGTCACTGTGATAAAAAAGAACTTGGTAATCCACATTAACAGAAAACATACTGACCATTCAAAAGATATTACAATGAAATCACATCTTTCTAGTGTGTGTATTGACTCCTCAAATGGACTGTCGGCAGTTCAAAGAAGTGGTCATGGTTTCTCTGTACCAGTTCATGTACAGAGAAAGACGTGGGGCAAAGCTCATTATGTTAGGTGTGAGTTGGAGGAATGTCGCCAATACCAGCTACTTGCTCACCGGAGTGGACACACGTTTAGTCTCTGTGAACATCTTCGTTCACTGGATTATTGTTGTGAAACAGCATTTGAGGAGCACTTGGAATCAAGTGTCCTTGATGAGATGGTGAAGCTCAGATTCATAGGAGAAGCAAAGAAGGCAGTTTGTTTGAAGAGGCAAAAATCAGCACAGGCAGCTCATGTCCCATTTTCAGTGTTGGTGGCATTAGGTAAATCTCAAGAGCAAATCACCCTCTCCATACATGAGCCTATTATTCATCACTACAATCGCCTTGGAAGAGTAATGGTCACATACAATTCCTCTGCTGGTACTTGGCACTGCCCATGTGCAAAGCCCAGAATGTCTTGCCCTCACAAAAACATTTTGTCTGTTTGTCTTTGTCTGTATCTAAGACACAGTTTACAGGTTTGTCTTTATTATGTAGTGTTTTATAACTAATGTACCCATCCAATAAAGTAGCCATTCAGAGAATTTAATTTACCCATTCCCATTATGTCTTTTCCAGAACCACGTATCAGTTTCCAGGGCTATAGACACTTTGGAGGGCTTATGGGGAGTAAAATACCCCAACAGAGACACCATACTCCATGGGTACTGTCATTTCGAGGCCTTGACAGATACCGACTACAAATATTCTTGTGTTAACTGTGGTTACCATCCCCCCGTGGTTATTATGGATTTGCACAAGAAGGGTGTTTTTAGCATATCAGGTAAGAGTTTGTTTGCTATAATATAATAATCAAAGTAACAAAGTAAATGTACCTATATATATATATATATATATATATATTAGGGGTGTAATGGTATATATATATATATATATATATATATATATATACAAGGGAGAACATAAGCAAGCCAATGGCTCATATTACATCATCTAACTATTGCATAGATAGTGCCTGTAATAGAAGCCTGTGTTCCACCCTACCTAAAGATTTATTACATACTGTAACCTATGCATGTATTTAATGTTTTATCTTAATATATGACTAGCTACGTATTCAGAGTTCATTACAAATGCCTACAGTACTATGGCTATTGCTATAGGTTTTTGACATTTTCAAATATACGGGGGTTCTATGCTAAGCTTACAACTGTTTAACACAGTGTAGGTTACTGTCAAAAACTGGCAGAAGTAGCGTGAATTGCGTGAAAATGACTTGAGCAGTATATTTTCTGTTTTCTTCTTACCTCCTCTACCGCACTACTGTCCTCCGCTGCAGCAGCCGAATTTAAACCTTTTGAGAAGATTTCGGTTAATTTTATGCATTTGGCAGCGTCGGATTTAAGAGCCCTTTTTTTGCTTTCTCGAAGCTTTTCTGCACCGCCTTTCCTTTTTTTACGGTCCATCATCTGACAATTAGCTCGTGTTGCACTTATGACGTGCTTGATTTTGATTACCGCGTAACCTCCGCGTAACCTCTGATTGGGTCGGTCGGCCCATCTCGAAACCAGCCGGCCGTCGCCAACTGGGCCAAATGCTTAACATTTATTATTATTATTATTATTATTATCATCATATTAAAATCTTGCAAACGATAAAACCTGCCAGCCTGTAAAAACAATGTATTTATATATATATAAAAAAAAATTATAAAAAAAAAATCTGACCGGCCCACATTAAAATAATGGTCCGGCCCTTCTGGCATTTGCCAGAATTGCCAGATGGCCAATCCGCCCCTGGCTAGTTCCTTTGGCTGCAGTGACACCTGCACTGGCTCCTCTGTCCGCAACAACAGGTTCACAGTCGTCAAAAAGCAAAAATGTGATTAAATGCCCACATTGTTCAGTCACTGTGATAAAAAAGAACTTGGTAATCCACATTAACAGAAAACATACTGACCATTCAAAAGATATTACAATGAAATCACATCTTTCTAGTGTGTGTATTGACTCCTCAAATGGACTGTCGGCAGTTCAAAGAAGTGGTCATGGTTTCTCTGTACCAGTTCATGTACAGAGAAAGACGTGGGGCAAAGCTCATTATGTTAGGTGTGAGTTGGAGGAATGTCGCCAATACCAGCTACTTGCTCACTGGAGTGGACACACGTTTAGTCTCTGTGAACATCTTCGTTCACTGGATTATTGTTGTGAAACAGCATTTGAGGAGCACTTGGAATCAAGTGTCCTTGATGAGATGGTGAAGCTCAGATTCATAGGAGAAGCAAAGAAGGCAGTTTGTTTGAAGAGGCAAAAATCAGCACAGGCAGCTCATGTCCCATTTTCAGTGTTGGTGGCATTAGGTAAATCTCAAGAGCAAATCACCCTATCCATACATGAGCCTATTATTCATCACTACAATTGCCTTGGAAGAGTAATGGTCACATACAATTCCTCTGCTGGTACTTGGCACTGCCCATGTGCAAAGCCCAGAATGTCTTTTTTACTGTCATTTCGAGGCCTTCACAGATACCGACTACAAATATTCTTGTGTTAACTGTGGTTACCATCCCCCCGTGGTTATTATGGATTTGCACAAGAAGGGTGTTTTTAGCATATCAGGTAAGAGTTTGTTTGCTATAATATAATAATCAAAGTAACAAAGTAAATGTACCTATATATATATATATATATACATACACATATACATACACATATACACATGTATATGTATGTTTTTTTTTTTTTTAAGTGGGTGACCTCAAAGACCCTCCCC